GTCAAAAAAGAGCAGGCCGGCCGCCCGCTCGATCACGTCCGGCGGCACCTGGTACAGGTCAGCCAAGGTCACCAGAGGTCACTACCGCCGAGGTCACCCGAGATCACAGGTCAGCAGGGGGTCAGTGTGGGTCAGGTGAGGACACCAGAGCCAAAGGAGGCCGGTCAAAGGAGACAACCTTGGCTGACCTCAGGGTCACCGGAGGTCAGCCGAGGTTGAAGGTCAGTGGAGGTCACACTGCACAGGTGGATGACTGAAGAACGGAGCTCCGGAATCAAATATAAATTAAAATGTCGGAGTGGAGCCCGAGCAAACCAAAGCAAGATACCATGGGATAGAAAGCAGACAGCTCCTGAAAGCACATCAGTCATTTTTTCAGAATGCTCTTCAGTCAAATGTCACTTTTTCTTCACTTGCCAACCACACGGGATTATGAATTTGCAACACAGTGTGCCTTCTGCGATCCACTATTAAAATAATTCCCAAACACTCCGCGAGTGGGGTGATCGCTCACACCTTCCAAAACCGTCCAAAAACGCGGCCAAATAATGTGGCAACTTTCGGCCCGTGCCGACTGTCGAAGCCAGAGTACGAACAGCTACGCACATTGGTCCGGCATGACCGTGCCACGCTCCACCACGTAGCATCAATTCGGCAATTTTTGTGAGCAAATAGTGAATATGAAAAGAGACGGATGAGAGTAGAAAAAGCATTCCGCTGTGTCACTCCCCAAACCGATAACAAATATGGGACAGTGCTCGGTGTCAGCGTTTATCCCCGGGTGCCATCGGAGGTGGTAACAGGCCTAGTGTTCCTGGGTGTTCCTGCGTCCATGGATAGTGTTCCTGGATACTGCGCTCAGGCAAACCTGGGCCTGCATTGCCGCAAATACCAACAAGGATAAGCAAACTGTGACACAAAAGGTCCGCAGGGTCGCCCGGCGCCGTCGCAGAGAGGCGGGCCGGCCGGGACCACGCACCAGGTAGTTGGTGATGGGCGCCTCGTTGGGGATGACCTGGTTGGGCATCACGTACGCCTCCAGCTTCCACGCGCGCCGGCCACCGTCTCGCCCACGACGATCTTGTAGAAGTGGGTCGGCACGGACACCTGGTTCTTGCCGATGACCTCGTAGCTGACCCGGAGCCGGCCGTCGGCCTCGCGCCTGCCGGCGGGACTGGACGTCACCCCAGGCCCCCCGCGGCGCCTCTCGGCTGCAGACGGCCGGCACGCGTGATGCTCCGTTGTGACGTAAAATACAACGAGGTTGGCTCGGTTTTAATTGGTTATTATGTTGAAAAATAACTGAGGGGGGTCGTTCTCAACTCACAATACCCTCCCCCCCCCCCCAAACACGCTACCCAAAACAGGAGCACGAGGCCTTCCTAGCTTATATCGAGCGTCACCGACCTCGCCAGTAAGAATACTGCAAAATCAAACCTACCTACAGTCCCTTTTAAGTTAGCAAATAAATCATTTGATCCCATTCCAGGGGATACCCGACATATCACACCCTTTACCTTCCTATGCTCCGCAATCCGACGCAGCGGCAGCAGTCCCCATCCCCAAACTGGTGCCAGGGCTGCCGCAGTAGGCGACAGTCCCGCTGCCCACACACGCTGGTCAGACCACCACCGACGTACCTGGGCAGGTACAGCGGGCCCGTGCAGACGTACACGTTCGGGTACACCTTGCACAGTTTGCGCACGTGCATCTCCAGGTCATTCCACTTGTCGCGGTTGAAGCCCACGCCGACCTGGGGTCACAGCGCGGGCGCTGAGCTCGGGCTGGCGATGGCGAGCGGTCACGAAGCACTGCCTTGTCTTCACCGCAGTAGCTCCAAACCGCACGAGAAAAAGCAAAAGTGCACGGGCCGCTGGCGTGCCGGGCGGACAGCGGCCACCAGAGGGCAGGCCCGGACGGGTCGAGCGCCGAGCGGCGGGGACGGGCCGCGCGCGGGCACGTGGCCGCACCGGTTCAGGTCAGACCGGTGACGCGCGGGCTGTAACAGCCTCTGCTCGATTGGCGCGCCGCATATCACCGCGCTGTCTGGCGTCTGCAACGCCCGTAGCGCTGCACTAGTACCCCATGCGCTCCTGCACAAGTGCAACCCGGCGTCACCAAGGCAACGCGTGTTCACGCGTGTTCGCGCGTTCGCATAAGAAACCCACGCTGAGCGTGAGACCACTTAACATCATCGCCACAGTCGATATCACGACCACACCCTTTGTTTATTGTCATCCTCATCACCAGCGCAGGTGACGGGCGGCTGCCGCTGCTGACCTGCGGTGCCATGTTGGAGAGCAGGAACGTCTCCTGCTGCTCCTGTTGGCTGCGCCGGTGGTTGGCGGCCGCCGCCATGTGACCTCTGTCGTACCCGCTCCCCTTGTAGTCACTGTTGTCCGCCCTGCGCACACGGGTCACCAGGGTCACCGCATCCATCACACCGTCCATCGCACCGTCGCAGCACCGTGCAGCAGCACGACACCAGATGCACTGAGCCACAAAAAAAGGTTCGGTGCAGACCCCAAGTGTGTAGGTTGTGCCTGCAGTGCATATTAATGTAGGTTGCTGACGGTAAGCCAACTTCCATTGTGTAGTCTTATGACTGATTTCCTCCTTAGCTCAAACATATTAATGATACTAATCGGGAGTTTGCGTCTCACCGCCTGGTGGAGTCATCTCGGGACACCCTCCAGCTTTGTTAGGTCGCAGCAAAACAGTCGGATAAGACCATTGCTCCCCCACTCAGTGACATCGCGTTGCATACATCGCATGCATTTGTATTCGCGTCCCAGACATCACATGCTAATCCGTCTGCAGCTCCGAGCAATCGAGCGAAGGTGGACACGGAGTTCCGTGCAATATTGTTCGGCTCGCGCGCTACGGTACCACCGCTGCCATGTCAAACGAAGGGCTCTAAAAACTGGCATACGGCTCGAGACAACCAGTCATCAGCACACCAATCAAGGAGAAAAGAGACCAGAGAAACGCATCATTCGAATCACCTCTGAACTAGCGTGTCTTGAATGACTGACCTACATGCGTTCTCTAGTTGCATCCCAGTTACAGCCCGCAGTAAGGCCACAGCGCCCTGTGCCTAATAACGCGTAAGAAGTGTGGTCAGCGGGAATTCAAACTTTAACAGGATGAAAGTAGCCAGCGGTACGCCGGTAACTTCCGAAAGCATCGATCGTCGTACTGACAAGAGCTGTCGGCTGGCGCGTTGGCTGTGACATCAGGGACGCAACCGCAAGGACGGATGACGGTTGTCCTCCGAGCTGATGTTCGGGTAGACGGCGCCCTGCGCCCTGGACCCAATCTCCGCAGCCAATCCCGTCACACCAGCATCACTGGTGAGCCAGAGCCGCAGCGCAGATCGACACTTCGTAGTGCACATCACTACGACTACCTACTACATGACTACGTGACTATCGCTACGTGAGGATCTCTGCACAGGCCGAGTCCTGGACCGACCTACCGGCGGCTGTTGCCTCCCTTCCAGCCCGAGGCTCGTGACCCGGTCCCGCGCCGCGACCGGCCGACGCTGCGGCGCTCACCTGAAGTACGGATGGATGGAGGTGTCGGCGACGAACTCGCAGCCGGCGCGGTCCACCTCGTCGTTGCGGCGAACACTCTCGGCCGTGAGGTGCTCGAACACCCACATCGGCACGCGCGCGCGACGGTCGTACGACAGCACGTAGTCGCTCTGGGAGCGGACGTTGTCCAGGCCCGGGAAGCCAAAGCGCATGATCTGCCGGGCAGGCCGCGGGCCGCTCAGAGTCAGCAGTCAGCAGTCAGCAGTCAGCAGTCAGCAGTTAGGGGCCGGCGCCGGACTGAGTTCCCGCCGCAGGGCTTCCAACCAGGCATGCGTGAGTGTTGGTGAGCAGTTGTGTGCACTGGCAAATTAGGGGATTCACACATTTGCGCCACCGCGGCTGACGAGTCGTCTCCCTTGAACTTCCCGTCTTGTCTTGAACTGGTCTGATGAAATTCATGAACTGGTCTGACTGTGTGACAACCAGTGTTCGTCTCACGATCCAGTATCACACATGCCACACAACAGTGGTCATGCTCATCGTGTGCACTTATCTTGTCGTAAGAGAAAGCCAACCGTAAAACTTTTGGGTCAACCGGTTACCCTCCCTCCACGGTCAGGTCAGGTCCAAGGCTCCGCCCTTCTGGTGATGTTGATTGTGCTTATTGTCCGCATGATGAACCACACTGTGCCTTAGTGTTGCATTAGTCGCCGCGTGAAAACCGCATAAATGCCATCGTTTCACCGAGGTCAGCTGACAAAAATGAGCGGTGTCCGTTTATGATCGTTGCCGTGCGAAAAGTGAGGCAAAAGCCGGTTAGCATCTGCTCGACATCCACAAAATGTGCTGAATAGCCCGGTCCCCATAGGTCTCCGCGGAAAAAAATATGGTTCATACATTTACTCGTGACCGGCCCAAAGGAGAACGTACGGTTTTTGTTTGTACCCCGTCATGCAGCAAAAACTGAGCAAACAAGGTCAGCATTTGCTCATCGCCCTTACGCGAAACCCGTTAGTCCCAGTTTTATGTAAGCCTTCACACGTAAATTGCGCACAAACTGATAGCCCTGACGTCCGCGCGCGCGCAAGAAACCGAGGATACCCAATCTCTAGCTTGGCAACCGATGGGTCATCGGGTGACTACTGATCGGCCGGACCGACAGACCGGCGATACCGGGGCGGAGAAAACCGTTTGTCAGGTGCACGCCCACACCCAAACCGACGACCACGTGACTGGTGGCGGAGTTAGATGGCCTCAGGTAGCGCTGCCTGCATAAAGAAACCGTCGAAAACAATGCGAAACCAGCCCAGCCGCTTGTTCGCCACCGAGGTCTTCCATGTGACCTCGACCTTAGACGGTTTATGAACAAGAAATAGGTCTTGCTCACGTGTCTGATACCCATAATTGCGGCTAAACCTCTCCACCTTGCGTTTTGATAGAACAGAAATAAAAACAAATAGACCAATCACAGATAATGACATGATATGACACAAATGACGGACTAAAAGAACGAAATATACACAAAGACCAAGGTTTCAGCTCTCACAGCACGCCACCTTGGCTTTTGGCCCGGTACGCCGCGCGTACCATCGGATACCTTGTTATGTAGTGAAGGATACATTCTTATATCTTATGTTTGATCAGGGCGCAATGATTTCACATCATAAGAGACGTTTCTAACTGTAATGCGTTGTGGGAGCGGTCAGATATCCCAAGGAAACACTTTTGGACTTTGACCTGGACCTACGACCTTAATGCATCCTTCAACTAAAATTTGCTGTGTGGTCTGAGACCGCACACCACGGCGCTTTCGATTGCAATTTAAACTTTTGAATCTGGGCCGCCGTTCTTGATAAGCGAGAGGGAGGCAAATCTGCCCTCTTCGGTCACTGGTGCGCAGCTGAGGAGCCTAGTCCACGCCGGGATATTTTGTATCGCACTATAGCATATTTTGTACCACACGCAAAAAAACATACTACGCAACTACTCCCATCATTATGCTGCCAGATTTCGGCCGGGTGCCAAAACCGACGCAGCTTAACATAACGGCCAGTAAATGGTCACATGACATCAAATATTTCACACTCAAGCACGCTGAAACGACTCAAAAAAAAGCTGGCTTCCTCATTATCACTGAAACGCAATGAAGTGAAAAACTCAAGACAACTTACACTTTTATAATTTTCCCTTACATGTCCACCACAATGTATATGACGTCATTTGATCACGTGCTCTTTGCCCAGCCGCACCCATTCAACCAAAACAAATCCAGTCTGCGCACGGCTCGACATTGATCAGCCCGTGATACGCGCAGAATGTGGCGGGTGGGGCGTCGCCGCAAGTGAGGGCGAATTTTGTCTAAATGCTGGCGAAGTAGGCAATACGTGCGTCTCTTCACATCCCTGGTCTTCCTTCTTATAAATTTGGACGAACCATACCATCAAGATGGCAGAGAAACCCTTCCAAGGCCCCTTCCAACGCTAGTGCGAAGCCCACGCCCATGAGGCTTTTTGCAACTTGGGAAGTGGAGCGGACATCACCTATCTGCATTGCAAGACAATGCACACTGAAACTTGCTCGCCTGAATGTTGTGCGACCATTCAGCTCTGATCTGGGGTCGCTCCTGATTGCTGTCAAGATGCAGAGCGCTAAAAGAACTCTGCGCTCAAACGAGATCCCACTGCAGCCCACAGGACTCCTGGACACTGAGCTGGATCTGACTTTCTCAATGCAGTACCCTCACTATTTGAAAGGAGAGGGTAACAAGCTTCAGATCATGCTCCAAAGACGGAAGCGCTACAAGAACCGTACCATTCTGGGTTTCAAAACTCTGGCTGTGGGTGTGATAAATATGTCACAAATTTTGCAAAGATCTGTTGATAAGGACCTGAGGCTGTATTCTGACCCCAAAGAGCGTCAAAACCTGGCCGCAATTCTGACCATGGAGTCATTGGTCAGCCAGCCTGTGGAGCAGGATGACATGCATATGCCAAAGAACATGGACACACCATATCGGTATGACTCTGAAGAAGAAGAGGAGTACAGCACCAATGATGAGGGCTCTGACTCTGAGCCTGTACTGGATTCCAGAGGAAAGCCCCCATCCATCAAGCACATTGGGTCAAACATGAGACAGAGGAACTTGAAGGAAAAGTTCATGACCATCTGGAAAAGATTCAAGGTCTCAGAAGACCTTCAGGGACTGGATCAGGACCAGGACATTGATCCAAAGTTGGCCAATGAAGTTGGAGAGCTGGATGACTTCCTGAATGAGCTTGAGTATGTGTCTGACTCTGGACCAGAGATGGATACAGTGAGCATCACCTCCATACCAAAGCCATCTCTGCGCCCATTCTTCTCATCATCGCAGAACCTTCTGAATGATAATACTCTTGCCAACAAGGTTCCTCCGCACACTTAGTGTGAGCTTGGGAAAAAAAACATGTAAAGAACTGGCAGTTACAAGTAGGAGTGCTTCCAGAATAAGCTGCATTCACGATGCAGGTCATCCACCTAAGGTGTTGAAGAGTATTTGTTTGCATTTGTAATGGTAGTTGCATGTAAAATGTGAAGTAAAGACAGCAGATGGTGGAAAGGCATTCTACCAAAGTATGTGTAGCTAGGTCACATGGCAGAAATGACTGTAGAATAGCTTGTAACACTGGTAAGTCATGTAGCATGAACAGCAAGCTGTGTTCAATGTACCAGTAGCTTAAAAGTGGAGCTTTATGTGATGTATGGAACAGAAATACTTAATATTGAAATACATGCTAAAAAGATGTATGGGTGTTTACTTTGATTGGGAGCAAAGCTGGTGCATGAGTTCATGATCTCAACAAGCACAACAACCAGGTTTTGCAGCATATTAAAGGGAGACTTCAATTAGGACAATTGACTTCTAAGCTTATGCAGTGCCAATTATCTAAAATGAAACATTTAACAGTCCACCAACACTCCACATAGCATGTTTGAAGCTCCTTTTCAAAAAGTCTTGATCCAAAAAAAGGATGAGTCTGAATTTGTCTAGCCTGAAACAACTTGAAAAATGGACTCCGAGAAAGCCTTACAATCGTGACATGTGTCTTGTTCTTGGTACTATCTTTATGTGTCAAGTCTTGTGGTTACTAAACTTTTTTATAAAGCAAAACACTTTTGAATTACAATGCAGAAAGTGCTCTGATACCATACAAAATAATGACAAGTGATGACAGAAGTGGCATATACTACACTTCTGAATAAGAACTGGTTAATCTTCTTCCACATAAATTGCATTGCACCATATGACAACATCCTGACAGTAATCACAGGCACACTTGCCACCCAGGTCACTCAAAACCACCGAACATCCACACCACAGGACTCATCCTCCAGTTGCGCTATCTGGCCAGCCTGTGACCTTGCTCGGCGGCAGGCGCAGCCGACCCCATCCGAGCTCTACGCCGGCCAACCCACCCACCTGGGCCACGCGGCCGGCGTTCTTGGCCGGCTGCTGGTCGGCGCGCACGTCGGGGGCCTGCGCGTCGCTCGGTATGGGCAGCGCGGCCGACACGGTGCCGAACAGCGGGTGGCCGGGAGGCGCGCGGCGCACCGGCTCGGCCCGGCCCGCCAGCCAGCCGGCCAGCCAGCCGCCCAGCCCAGCAGACACGCCCAGCGTCAGCCGGCCCAGCGACATCATGTCTGCAACGGCGCGCCGTCAGACACCGCATGCAGCGCGCAGGCGCCACTCGACGCCGACGGCTGTCTAGTGGGTCTTGTCGATGGCTGGTGCCACTATTTTAATGAACTAGATGATGTCTAATGATAATTTCATTTTCCAGAAGAAAGGGAGATCATAAGTGGCAGCAGCAAGGCAGTCAGAGAGCAGTGAGCACCATAGATGGAGTGATGTCACCAAGCACACATTTTTTCAGTTGGTGGCAGACTCTAGCCTGTCTTGGGATTATGGACTAGGCAGTACACCAGATGATGTCCAAATATCTTCAATGATCAGCTGGTCATTTGCAGTAAAATATCACTGCTGTAAATGAAGACAGCCATTTAACCTTTGTGTCCCATGGTACCACATGGTGTCAATCAATGTGTCACATTAAGCTTTGAAGTAACTGTAGGGCAACTAATTAATGACCACTTTGGAATGCTAGTATTAAAAAGTGTAATGCACCATGAAATGATGGTGATCATCAACATGATCATTTGCTTCACTTGTGAAACATCCAAACATTGCTTTATTCAGCATTTGGCAACCACTAACAGGATCAGTATATCAGCAAATTTTTTAGAGAAACCCCAGAATATGAATAAAATGCTGCAGCCAGTCATGTAGTTTCATGTGCAAAACACAGATTCATATGTTTTCCAGTGTTTTTAGCAACTGATGTCAGATCTTGATAACCAAAGCAACCAACCAATTTCCAAGTAAATGTAACTTGTGAATCAGCAGGTCACATCATGAAACTTCTGTTCACACCTTTGTACAGTGCCTTCAGAAGACCAGATCAGATCAGAACAGATCAAGCAGTTCTTCTAAAGCTCTATTCATAGCCAGTTGTATTTATACCTAAAGCAGCCTGGCTCCATTATCTTAGGTGTATGTACCTGCATGGTTATGACTGATAAGACTTGAAGAAATCTCAGGCTAAATCATGATATTGTACCTTATCCTGCTTACTCCACACCACTAAAAGCATTACATTTGTGCACTAGAATAACACAAGCAAACTATTTCCTAGCATTTTGGTGAATTTTAATGGCACACATTTTAATGGGTCAATTACAGATATATCTATTTCCAAGTGGTTTTTGGTATTTGGGCTTACTTTTACTCATATTTACCTTTAATCATATTTGCAAGAATATGACTCAAGGTAAATAATAAAGAATCATTAACAAGAAACACCATGTCATCTAAACATCATTATGACCAGACACATTGGTACATGAAGCTGGCATCAGAGAAAATCCATAGCCCATGACACCTCATGCACGGGTAACAACATACTGTATAAATGCATTCACTATAGCACTGCAAAGACCATGAAAAATTGAACAGTGAACCAAATTCTAAAAACATTCACTGGTGAAATGTTCTGAAGCTTTTTCAGATTAATGGTGACAAGATGGTAATGCACAACCAGTGCATGAAACACAACTAAATATTTATTTTGCTGGAAATGGTCCTCAGACATTTTCATAAAGACATGTAAAAATGATGTCCTGTCATTGAAGCTTCAAGAAAACAGTTACGAATGTTCCTCCTTATGCACATCTTCCATTTGCTGCCATCAAGCAGCCTGAAAAAATATGTTCACTGGAACACCTATGGATGTTTCTTAATGTAACCCAACCTTCAGTGTATCATAACAGGGAACCAATAGGTAGCTAAATGTGAAGCCTGGTCACTATAGAATTCATAAATTAGAATGCAACTGTGGGCATGCCCATAAAGCTCGGTGAACACACTATTGGCAACGGCACAATTATGCACTTGGTGAGGCAAAAAGAGGTGGAAGGTATAGAATCTTGCTTAACCACTGGAAATTACTTACAAAATTAATGATGCCCTGTTGCCTTTTGAGATTGGACACCACCTTCCTTGCAGTCCTTCAGCACCCCGCCAGATGATGCTTTGGAATAGGCTTTGGTTCTTGCACAATGCCTGGAGCCCTCTATTGCTATGCACTGCAACACAACACAAACAGCTCTCATATATATTGCATAAACACCTTCTTGCCCACACCGGATCGCATCGTTGCAATGATTGCACCACAATGAACGTTCAGAACAAATATAACCCGTACCGATTTACCTCTACGAGATAAATAAGGCACACTTGTACGTCATTTATGGCGCAAAGGTGACAAAACATGCATGCAACTCAATACGTATAAATGGCCTCGCTTCAACAACATGGGGACCAGCGGGCGTTGCATCGCGTAGATGACATGACCCACATGACAATCCGCAACCAGTCATCCGCACCCCGAGCAACCTTTTGATGCAACGTACGACTTGTAAGAGGTTGAACACAGCACACCACAGACCAACCACAGAAAAGTTGGCGCACAAATTTTCAAAAAAATCACTGCCATATCCAGTAATTATGCCGAAGACTAAATTTGGTAGCAGGGTGTCTCTTGTACGTTATATTTGTCATATGTTTAGGACTTCATTTGTTTTGAAGCAGAAGGGGGAATGAAACACTCCACTCAGCATTGGGCTACATTTTGTGTGAGCAAAGGTAAGTGGGGGGTGAGGCAACTGGATGCATTCAGTGCTGGATAATCGGTTGCAAACATCACTGTAGAATTAGTTGGTTTCGCTGCTCAAGACTTGATGTACGGTGTGCACGTAAAGTCCAGTGGTGCGGTTCTTCCCTCGAACTGTTTAACATATTTTTCGGCTCGCTGCTTTTTTTTTGTTTTCAGTTGAGAAACGTAGGGACATGGTTATAGTATATGGCAAATGAAACCACACAGCCTATTGATCAAGATGTGATAGTTTGAGAGTATCTCATTGGAACATCGGTGAAGCACAACTTCCACTTTGAAAGAGCCCATCAAATTGATGGGGCAGAAATTATTGAATTCGGACTGATTTGGTCATCATAATGTGTTCCACTATGCAGAGCCTAATAAGATCATTGAAAATGACCAAATTTGATATTACATCATGTTTCTGGGGATAAGTAAGATTTACAAAATCTGCCTTAAATGGGGCAACTCATTATCCTCTCTTGCGCAGGATTCTGTCTGCCCCAAACATTTCATTTGCATGTTTGCTATGATTTGTAAACTGGTATGCAGCCAATTCCAGGCAAGAGACATATTGGCTGTCATCTTATAGCTCAGCTTACATTGTGCCAGCAATGGCTTATTGTGACAGGAGTAGTTCCAGAACACAGACTGCCAGTGCCTGTAACTGGGAAATTTATCTTGGCAACACATTTCATCACTTTTCAACAAAAGTTAAGCACTCAAGTGGGTGCATTTAGATGCCCAGGCTTATTGACAGCATTTGTAGGCTTAGGACATATGGCTTTTGGTTATTTTGATTGTGTTCTACCTGCAAAACTTTCAAGCTGCTGAATGATTATGCATGAAACCAAAAGCACTGGATGCCCAGCCTTAAGTTTATAGACCATGGTTACCATATTTTTGTATGGTGTAGCATCATAACTCATTATGTTTATATCATTGTGCCTTATGATGTGGGTCACATTCCTATTTCTGCTATTGTGATATGCATCATAGAGAGCCCTAAGTAATCATTGGCTGCAAGCTGTAAAAAAGAGGCATTAAATACTTGTCATAGCATTAGCAGGATTTATCCATGACAAATCATTTGTGTGAATATGTGTATACACACACACACACAACACACACACACACTTGTATGTATATGCATATATACCTAATTAGTTTATTGGGTGTGATAACTATGAACTAATCTTATAAAACTGTGCATGAAATTGAAATACATGCCTGTCAAAGCTTATCTACATGAGTGCTTGTGAACTTATACATGAGTATTCAAAGAAGAAAACCTTTTCATATAGATTACATGCTGTGCAGTCTTGAGAAATGCAGAGCATGTTGTACTTGCTGGCATGGAGTATGTGTCTACATAGTACCCTGAGTGGCATCATATTTCAGCAAAATACTCTGTATTTCTGGAAGCTGGAAGCCCAAGTACTTGGCAATGGGGCCTCATTACATCGAACTGGATAGGGAATACACAGGTTGTTCTCATGTTCTTCCCACTGCAGCCCCATGGAGCTAATATTGAATTTTGGTACAGCGGGCAGGCAATTGCCCCATACAGTGTCATTGGCTGCCCATGACCCAAGCAAGAACACTGGGGTTTGTGTGCACACTTGCCTGCTGTGGTGGGGTGCATCCTGCTGCCAATACTATGTTTGTTATGCAGAGCACAGCAGTATGAGGGTGTTTTACACCAGTAATAAGACTCAATAGGCTCTGGACATTCTACTAAGGTCTGTACAAGAGCTGTAAAAGGTCTGGGTGCAATTAAACCTTGTTCAGTAAGTGTTCATGACAATATGTCTGGGTGATTCATTGGTGCTGTCATTTGTCCTGGATGTTTTGCATTTACACTAGATTATGTGATAATAAATTCCTGAATACCATGGAGCTGGAGTGTGTTGTGATACTTAGGTAGTGATAATGAATTATGCATATTTTAGTCGAAGGCATTGGCTGAGGACAGATCCCAAGTCACCATATCACAGACATTGATATTGTGTTAGTCCAGAGTGTTGGTTGAAAGCAGCTTATAAAAGTCACAATATTGCATGCATTTGTGATTTGTAGGGGCAAAAACCTTATCTTTATAAGCCCTACCATTCAAAAAAGGTTGCATGTCTTGTGAGTTCACAACATTTCAGTAAGGCACAACTTTTGTTTTAATCATATGCACAATAAGCCCTGGAATAGGCAAATGATATTAAGCCCTCATAGTGCTGACCTGCTTACTGTTGGAGAATGGTAGGCCAGTGCAAAAATCAGAAGCATTGGTGGCATATTGTTTTGGCCTTCACCATGATGAGGTGGATACAAAGTAGAAAAAAGAGGAAAATGTACATTACAGCTACCCTCCTACTACTGCTGGTGCTGGCAGCAGTTGGGATTGAGTCTGCTGAACACTTTTGCTCCAAACCTGTCTTTCACATGTGCTTATATCCTAGCCTACAGGTTTCCAAAAGCAAACAGGTCTGTGCTGTAGGAATTAAGTTCATGTATCTCTTATGAAGCACAATGCCCTACACTGAGTCATAATCTCAGCAGTTTGCACAATTGGCTGTCCTGAAATGCAGTGAGCTTTGAGTTTGTGTGTGTGTGGTATGTTGCCTTGGGTGGCATGGCTAGCACACGAGCTCTGCTTACCTATGTGAAGCTCAGCTGTTATCAGAGAGGCTGCAGCACCTATGCATTTCAGCAAGTGAATGTCATATTATTTTCACAAACTGAGTTAGTGTTGTGTGCATCATGGCAATCAGTGGTGTGAACTTTTTATGCATTCAGTTCCAGGATTTGCTTCAGTGACTATTCAGCAATGGCAAGCCTTTCAGAAATTATCAATCTCAATGTGGGGGGTGTCAGGTAAGTTGTGTGTCATAAGTTTCATGAAACTTCCATGTACATTGTTGCAATGATGCACACTGTTACCTCCATGCTCCTTTTGTTTGTTTAGCATGTTAGGAGTGGACAGTGATACATCAACATTAACTCTCTATGCAAATTAGCATTACCAATTTATGTGTCCTTCTATCCATACCTGGTATGAATTGCTGTGTGTTGGGCTTTTCTGCTGGCCATTTACAAAACTTGTCGCGTAAACTCTCAGCCCGTGTGTCGGTGCTGCAAGGTCAAGAGCATTTTTCTGTGCGTCATTTCTGTAATGGTGCTATTGTGCGCATTGTTTTAAATAAAAGAACGTCCTGCGTGCTCGTCGGCGGCACTGATTCTGACTGGGGGCCGCGGCTGGGCAGGTTCTCTACGTCCAGACAGACGCTGACCTGGATCCAAGACACCTTCTTCACCGCCCTGCTCAGTGGCAGGATCTCCAGCATGCGCGATGAAACCGGCGCCATCTTCATCGATCGTGACCCAAAGCTGTTCCGCGTCATCCTCAATTACCTGCGCACCAGGGACATTGACCTAAGGTGAGCTACCTACACGCACTTAACGTCCGAAACGTATAGATGTGCTGCGTCATTTCGATGAGCACACCATGCATTGTAACTTCCTTTGCGAGAGTTCGGCTTCCTGTTCATCATGCCACTTAACAGGCGATGGCCAAGTCGGGCCCAGGGACGAGCCAGCTCTTTTTTTGTCAATCGATCAGCACCGCGTGTGCACCGTCCGCGCAAAAAAGCCAACCGTTGTCACAGTGGCATGCTTCACGCCATCGTCAAAATCACGCTACAATAATGATGTTCCGATCGATTTAGATTGCAACACGCATGCCGACGTCGTCCTGCATGGCACGTTCTGGCCGCCCGTGTGGCGGTGCCGCCCACGTGCCGCGCCCTGTGTGGCCCGCTCTCCTGACGCCGCCGTGACCGGCCGGCAGCGCGCTGGAGCTGGACGCGCTGCGGCACGAGGCCGAGTTCTACGGGCTGCAGCCGCTGGTGAGGCGGCTGGCGCTGTGTCAGGACCTGGCGGCGCCCACCTGCGGCAGCGTGCTCTTCCACGGCCTGCTGCCGCCGGCCGGTCAGTGTGCTGCGCCGACCCGCGCTGGCGGGCGCCGCCCCACGTCGGCGGGGCTGATCAGGGTCACTGCTGTGTGATGTCACACCGACCTGCTGAGACTGATCAGGAGTCTGGTGTTCGGCGCGACGTGAGAGGGGGTCTCAGCTAACGGTGACCGCCGCCAGAGTGTAAGGCTGAGTATCGATCGGCTGTAACGAAAGTTGTGATCGTCCCTCCCTCGTCCCTCGTCCCCAATCGTTGTCATTGGACAAAGGCGTGCCTTTGAGGCGGACCGTCAAGTGCCGCTGCTGTGCCTCGCGTACTGCCGTGGCCCTCCCCGGTGTCTCCCGTGTCGGGTGCTCGCCGCGATGGCCGCCGCCCGGCTGACGACGCCGCACCGGTCCCGGCCGGCAGCGCTGCCGCCGTCGCCGCATCAGCAGGAGCAGCAGCTGGAGGCGGCGGCGGCAGTCCGGCCCGGCTCCATCGTCCGCCTGCCGGAGACGCCGCGCTCCCACTCCCGGCAGTCCTCGGCCGACCTGAGGTCAGTCGGCCGCTGTGGGCTTCCCACCGCACTGCAGACCAGTCTGGTCAGACTAGTGACCGGTGTAGATCAGACTGGGGACCACAGGAGTGTTATATGAGCTAAAGACGCCCTGGTTTTGTCGGGTCAGTTGGATTGCCATAGCAGAGGTCATCAGAGGGTAAGTGTAGTGACACCAAGTTGATATAATGACCCCAGGTCAGTTTAATGACCCCATATCAGTGTGGTGACCCCAGGTCAGTGTGATGGCACCAGGTCAGTGTGGAAACCCAATGTCAGTGTGGTGACCCCTCCAGGTCAGTGTGGTAACCCCGTCCAGATCATTGTGATGACCCCCTCCAGATCATCGTGATGACCCCAGGTCAGTGTGATAACCCCAGGTCAGTAGTATGACCCCAGATCAGTATGATGACCCCAGGTCACTATGATGACCTCAGATAAATCCATTAGGAGACAGTCGGCCCCATGACTTGAGGTCGACAGAATTTCATTCACTCGCACGCAGTGACACTGGCGACGGCCGTGTCCACGGTGTGCCTATCACCGAAGGCCGCGTGCAGTTAGCCGCTGAGCTTGGGCCAGTTTTATGACACGTGATCAATGCGGTGGCCATGGACGAGTCACTTGACTCACCACTGTTGACCCAGCTCTCGGTCATTGATGTGCTCACTGGTCCGGATCGTGCACCGCCCAGGTTGGACTAGCGTCGATAGAAGCCGTGTTCGCTGTCGTGGAAGTTGTTTTAACTGACTTCCTGCGATTGACTGTCATTGACTTACGGCACAGACTTGCTCTTGTCGTTTTGTATTGTAACTAGCTGTATTGCACTGTATACCAGATTGTCGTACTGCATCGTCGCATTAGTCACCTGTACGGCTTTCAGCTAGGAGTAAAAGCGATAACCATAATCACGCCTAGTCACACCACATCCACTGTTGGTCCTGATATTATGTGTCTTCCCGCTCTGGCCCACTGCCCTTGCATCTCACTTCTGCAAGTGAGAGGGTTGGCAGTTGTTGCGCTTCACTACTTTCTTCGTCACCACCACTCCTGCCACCTGAGCATCTCTCCCCTGCAGTCAGGCTCCCGACTTGTCCCCTCAACACATCCCTATTTAACTCCCCCATCTGGCAGGCTCTCGAGTCATGACTTAGCCCTGACCGTTGTCTGACCGTCCCTCCGTCCGCTGGAAGGTTCGTGGCCTCCGCAGCTTCCGCGTCCCCCGTTCAACCCCCGCCGTCCCTGGCCTCGTGACCTGCCTCGCCTCGACACCCTCTCACCGCCGCTCCGTCGGTCGTCAGGTTTGCGGCCTCCTCGGCTTCCGCGTCCCTCACCCGACCCCCGCTGTCCTGCCTCGCCTCGACGCCTTCTCACCGCCGCTCCATCGGTCGTCAGGTTCGCGGCCTCCTCAGCTTCCGCGTCGCCCACCCGACCCCCGCTGACCTGCCTCGCCTCGACACTCTCTCACCGTCCCCCCCTCGGTCCGTCGTCAGGTTCGTGGCCGGCCTGGCGCCACGGCCGCCGGCGGCGCTGCCCCGGCCGGGCCACTCTCGCGGCGGCTCGCTCGACCTCCGCCACGCGCACTCGCGGAGCTCGTCTGCCGACCTGAGCCGCCTTCTGCGCGCCGACCTTGGGCCGCTGCTGGCGCCGCCTGGCGGCGGCTGGGCCGAGCCGGCCGGTGTGCGGCTCATCCGGGGACACCACAACTGGCTGGTGGCTGCCTACGCACACCACGTCTCCTGCTATCGGTAGGTCACCACCCCGGTGGCGAGATGTCGCGAGAAAAGCGTCCTCGTGGAGCTTGTACTCAGGGGACAATGGAGGCTCTCGGGTGCGGTGCTCTGTACCAGCACAGCGGCACCGGGGGGTGTTTTTAGGGGAGAGCGAGGTCAACGACGAGCACTGTCCATCCCTGAGGACAGCGACGGACGCTGCCCATTCCTGCGGACAGCGACGGACGCTGCCCCATCCCTGAGGACAGCGACAGACGCTGCCCATCCCGGAGGACAGCGACGAGCACTGGCTCATCCCTGGGACAGCGACAGACGCTGCCCATCCCTGAGGACAGCGACAGACGCTGCCCATCCCTGAGGACAACGCCGGGCGCTACGCATCCCTGAGGACTGCGACGAGGGCTGTCCATCCCTGAGGACAGTGACGGACACTGCCCATGCCTGAGGACCGTGACGGACGCTGTCCATCAGAGGACGGTGACGGACGGGCGCCGAGTATCTCATAAGCTCACGTCGTCTGTGCATGCTGGTTATGGTGTTTCGAGCAGGAGGGCTTTTAAGTGCTGCTGCTATCTGCGGGTGTCCGGGTGTGACCAAGTTCCTGTCGCGGAAAGACGTTGGAATGTGCGGAAGCTCTGAAGGTCTCGTTCCTGTTATATCCTCACTGCCGGTGCTCCCGTTGCCCGACAGCCGCTACTCCGACTGATGTGTGACGGATCCTAGTCGGGCTCTGTGACCCAACCGGCTGGCCGGTCACGTGATGGACCGCCCGGGTTGAATTCGGGCGCCCGTGGCCCGGGGCGGACGGCATCGCATCACCTCTTTCACGCCATTCGGGCAGGACTGTTGACTTTCGTTGTGCAGGGGTCACTTTACGCGATTGCTGTCCCTTTCCCACAGCTCTCCCACTGCCATGGGCTCTGTTTTTTGTCGGGTGGTAGTCGCGGTCATTTGGCTGTTATTCGTTGCAGATGTGCCACATTGTTTGCTGCGGTGAATTTTAAAGTGGCTGTATCCAGCCCATATTGCGTGTGAATCACTGCCAACAGGTGGTCTTAGTCATCTCCCAGACTTGAGGCGTAACCCTTTCTCCCAGACTTGATACACGTGACGGAATCAATGGCGTTCGTGTAAGTGCCTATCTCACGGTGCATTGGATGAATGCTAAGGTGATCGCTTGGACCCGTCCAGGATGAAGGACTCCACGGGCTGGCACCTGTTCTACACATCGCCGCACATCCCGGCCACCATAGACCGTGTGGCGATCAACGCCAAGGTGGTGCCGAACGGTTCTGTGGCCGACACCAGCACCAAGATGCTGGGCATCAGCTGCGGCGGCACTGTCCACCTCTGGGGCATCTCCGAGGACGGCTCCAAGTCGGACGTCGGTGAGTGGCGCGCGCCTCGGCTCCCGGCGGGGGGGGGGGAGCCGGGGGACTGAGGTCCACCGCTGGGGCATCTCCGAGGACGGCTCTAAGTCGGACGTCGGTGAGTGGCGCGTGCCTTGGCTCCAGGCTCCCGGCTCTTGGCGAGGGCGATGGGTTTTGAGGTCCGTCGGAGCGGCTCCTCCATGCACGACGAGCGGTCGGTGGGGCGGCTGGCATCGGTTCAGGCCTCACACTGTAATCTGGAACCATGTCGGCGGTTGATCGGCATAGATGTGTCTTGGAACAACCAAGCCGGCTCTCTGCAAGTTGAAACCACAACTAGATAATGTTCCTTTGTTTCTTTAGTGCGCGGAACGGTTTTACGCGGGTAACGCGTCCAAGTGATCCGGGAGTGAAAAACAGCTACAAGTGATACCTGAGATCCGCTTCACGCTTTTGAGACACGATTCTACGTTACGTCACGGATGGCGGTGATGCCTGCGTCACTTGCATTGCCCTTTCGCGCAGCGAAGCGAGCGCAAACCATTTATATTTTCTGTGTCACGACGATATGAGGTAGGCATTCGCGCTTCGACTCCACTTGTCTCTCGACGCCGTCCTCCCCCCAGACGTCGTACCCCTGGCGCTTCACTGTGCCGCTCGTGACACCACCCCCCTGCCGCGCCCCAGGCCAGTTCAACCTGGGCGTACCAGTGGAGCACCTGTTCTTCATCGGGCCGCAGCTGGTGGGGCTGTCGTCGGTGGGCAGGATCGGCGTCTGGCACGCCATGACGCACCACTGGCAGGCGCAGGAGGTGGGCCACATCTCCAGCTTCGACCGCGCCGGCAGCTTCCTCCTGCTCGGCGGCACCAACGGCTCCATCTACTACATCGGTCAGTGGTGGACCTGGCGCCCTGCCGCCGTCCCGCCTTAGCAGCGTCGCGGTACACGGCAACGGCTCTTCCCAGCCTTTTTTTTGTTGATCCATCTTATTAGGAGATCCCGCCCCCGACGTTTTTGCCAGAGGGAGTTGTTCAGGGCTCTGCGCGCTCTACGGTGGCACGACGCGGCCGTGCTGGGCCGTGTGTAACCACGTTGCCAGCTCCTAGTCGACCTTTCCGCGTCAGCGAGGCCAAACGCCGTTCTCGCCCCTGGATTTTGTTACTTAGTTCCGCGGGATCAGTTGTCCAGCATGTTTCCCTTATGCCACGAGGGTAGCACATTACGTGGCAATTCACTGAACGCGTGCTTTCAAGGATAATGGCTAGATTTAAGGCCAACCGCTTCCCCACTGGGGATGAGTGCTGTGCTGGGTGCTGACTGGAGTGACGTGCTTGGTCACTTACACCGCTCGGCGCCCCTCAGCTCAGTATACGTGGGCAATCTGCCGGAGCCTGTCCTGTCCGTTCCGCAGACATGCAGAAATTCCCGCTGCGTATGAAGGACAACGACCTTCTGGTGACGGAGCTGTACCATGACGCCAGCGACGATCCTATCACTGCCATCAGCGTGTACCTGACTCCCAAAACGAGTAAGTCCGGCTGGGCCGAGTCATGTAGCCCCTGTTGTCCCCGCCCGAGTCGTGAGTGTGCCGAGTCCGGCAGGCGGTGCCGGCCGGCGCTGAAGGCGGCCCGCCGCCGCCGCCAACAAGGAGAGCATTAGCGTTTGGTTCGACGGTTTTGCATAATGGTGAGGGACCTGAAGCGGCTTTCAAGGTCGTGATTTGGCGGGCGGTGATGACTCACTATGCAAATATTCTGACTCGGGCGGAACAGTGAGATCACACTCAATGGCTTCCGATGTTGGACCAGACGGATGTGTTCGTTGGTTTGGCTCCGGTTTTGCGGTCAGTCGTGCAAGGTTTATGTCGTTTATTTGCTTCATTTATTTCCTATTTGATTGTCCATCTCATGGGAACATGCGCAGAGCGGCTACGGGTCTGAGTGAGGCGTATGATCATCAAAGCGACGTTTTGGCATTCCTGGTACGGTGTTCCTGCTCAGAAATGGGGAGGATTCTAACTTGTGTTTGCGCTACCTATACTGGCTCGAAGCCAGTGTGGGCCGCTGGACCAGTGGTTCACAAACGTTACAGGTCACGTGCCATTTAGTCGCAAAGATTAAACCTTGTTGGCTTTGAGGGTACAGCCGTAGATAAGCATGGCGTAATGTGTGGACACTGACGCACGCCAACCACATGGTCGTAATTGAGATAATATTGTTCCGGTCTGTCAGCCAGGTATTGTTCAGGGATATTCAGACCATCGCACCACTGCATGGCATGACACCTGGTGGTGAAGATGGCTCCGTTTGGCGAAGCGTTTGCTTTCGGAGAGTCTCGAACCCACCATTCATTTACACTAACCCACCTCACGTCCTCGAATTCTGCCATTCACCGCCTGTTAAAACTCCTGCATGACCTGAAAATCGGGTATTCATCTCCAGATTTGCATGATCTGACTTACAAGAAACGATATCGTTTAAGTGAACAGATCGTATTGTTGTATGCGCATAGTTCATTAAGAATAGTTTGCCCTACATCGTAATACAGCGCCCATTTGCTCGCTACGATCGAATGCTCACTCGCTCATTTGATTTAGTCATTCACCAATGGGCGAGTTCATTCACTTGTGGACTTGCTCACCTATTTACTTATTGTTACATCGGGGTCCCATCCCCGTGGTACTGTCCAAGCCAAGAGGGCTTTTCATGGACCCTAGTCATGCAAAGATGGAAACATGCGACATGCACAGTGGCATAGAATACACACTCAAAAGGGCATCCCCCTCCGCACCCCACCCCCACCCCGCACACACATTCGCATCTCGCGCAAAGCCAACAAATGAGCAGAGTAAAAGCATGAACACATGTCCCGCAAGTGTAAGACGTCACAGTCAGCGTGAGAAGACAGCTTCATCTCGACCAGCGATGCTTGAGGGCACGTGTAGACTGTGACGTGGTCGGGGCGCCAGATTCAGGCGGTAGCGCGCTGTAAACACACGTCACCCGCCACGTGAGCTGCCCTCCCGGCTGCGGTGCCAAGGCTAGAAGGCAGGCTGAGGACGAACCCAGCCGCGCGCTCCGGACGTGGGCAGAGCGTTATTGATGCAGAGGAACCTAAGAGGGTGTGATGAGTAAACGTGCCATGGGAGTCTGGCCGGCCCAGGCTTCCACGCACGCCAGAGATGTGATCGCATTTTCGTTGTGCAGACGTAAATCGAACCTTTCAACTTGAACGGCAGGATTGTTTTTGGTGAACTGTTTCCATGCACCGAAAAACAAAAGTGTACGTGCGAGGAAAGCTGTGCACTGAGAATGGTGGGCAAGGAACCAGAGGGCTTGTAATCGCGGGGATGAGAGGTGGTATGCACGGGGCCCAGACTCATCTCTGAGACAGCTGGGTGACGTCAAACCCAGGAGAGATGACGTGAACCAAATGCCGAATTTGTGGATTAGGTGGAGGTGGCTATATTTTCGTCGCGAAATTTCACTTTGAGCGAAGGAAGCTTGCGCATATTTTGTGTGTTACCTAGACAGATGGTTCAAAGTTAGCGTCGTTCAGCTCTCGGAAAAGTCCGCACAGTCAGACATTGTGTTATAGAATATGCTGATGCTGTCTGCCGAGTCAATCGAGGTCAGCGGTGAGGACTCTGTACGCAATACTACGCTGTCAACGCGTGACGCAACGCAATGGCTCGAGATGATACCACTCCATCACTCATGTTTCGTCCGCTCCGTAGCACCCAGTCGCTTGTACTGAAAGGCTCTCACACGCATTCATTCACTGGCTTTTTCACTCAGCCATTCACCCATTTACTACGTTTGGATAATGCGCCCTTCGAGCCTGCCTGAAAAGTGGTCATTTATAGCGTTTTTACTTTTGTATTTGTGCTGGGAGTAGGCTTAGTGTTTGGGGGGGGATTTGAGTGAAATGTCCCATTAATCTACAAGATTCACACGTCCTACGTGGCTTCGTTCCGTAACAGCCCCCAGTTCCACTCTCTAGATTCATTGTAAGTCCTCTAGGCGCGTTAGAGTAGCTGGTTGTTCTACTATGACCATACCCATGGCATTGAGAGTGCTTGCTGAAGTGAAATGTATTCATGTACACAGATAGTTCACACCATAAATACAGCGGTGACTTGGTCCCGCTCTCTCACACACACATAAATAGACGTAGCGTGTCTCCAGACATGGCGTCGGTCAATGGCGAAGGCGGTTCCGATGGACAGGCGGCGGCGAGGCCGTGCTCAGTCTCACTGGGAGACGGGCCGGTACTCGTAGACGGGCTCGTACTCGACGGCCGGCTGCTGGGCCCGCACCACCTGCCGCTCCGGCGCCGAGTAGCCCTCCTGCACGGTGCGCACCTCGGGCGCCGCCTCGGTGGACGGCACCTCAGGCGTCGGGTACTCGGTGGGCACGGGCGTGGGCAGCGCGTCGCTCTCCGCCCGGAAGCCCAGCGTGTCGGCCACGTAGCGCACGCTGACGGGCACGCCCTCGGGCGAGATGTAGCTGTAGGAGCCGAACACGGTGCCGTCGGCCGCCTCCTCCTGCCGCTGGATGTCGTCCTCGGAAAGGAAGCGGAAGGCGTAGCCGCCCTGGTCGTTGCTGGTGCTGGTCGACTCGAGGATGCGGACCAGGGGCAGGGGGGCGGCGACGGTACGCACGGCCGGGGCGGCGCCGTAGCTGGTGCGGGGCTGCGAGTCGGCGGCGACGGCGGCCACCAGCGTTAGAAGAACCAACTGTGAATAACAAGGGAACGAAAGTGTCAGACGGGATCGGATGACCTCTCAAATATGACGGCTTAAAGAGAGGTTTCGGAGGTTTTGAGTAACAATTTTTGGACACTGCCCGCGTTTTTATGATTGAACTTAGCAATGCCAGAAAATTAGGCTCGTCAAAGACTGTCTTCCGTGTGCGTTAGGTTTTCGTGCAGGCGAATTCAGTTGCCTTTTGGCGCAGGCCATGGTGTAAGTAGACTCAGTGGCGTCAAAAACGTTCCGTCTTATTTAAACCAGAGAAAGCTTACAAGTCGTTCAGACTTACCATCTTCATAATGAGTATGGCCGTATGGGGACGGGAGCTGTCGCTCGTCGGTAGGTGCAGCTGCTGTGATGCTCTGTCCCGGCTGGTGCTGGGTTATATAGTGGAGCCGGTGGCCCGTCGACCCTGGTCAGGACAAGTTATGAGGTCGCTCCCTCCCCCCGCCCCCTGGATTCTGGCCAGAGCCCGCGGCCCCGGCCACCCGTCAGCCGGGTGGGGCGGACCGTTCGATGGCTCGTCCCTGATCGGGATTGATTTCGCTTCGGACGTTCTGATTTCATTTCTTCTCCACAATCCTTACTAATGCATGCTGCTGGTTATGTGCCTGACCGCATGACGTAACTTGCGGCGTACCAGTCCATTCACGTCTGAAGCTCCGAAATGGTGTCACAAAAAGTGGAACGATTTCTCCCGAGTGACAAGTCATGCTCTTCAACTTTTTTCAGTAGGCATGTTCATGAAGGCCTTTAATGATGCGTGAGAGATGGCCTAAATTTTTGGTTCGATAGGTTTACGATAGAGATTCTTTGCATATTGGGAATAGTAGGCTCCCGGTTTGTATATGGTGTAATTTCTTTATCATCGTCATTAAGTTGTTGCTTCTCAATGAATATCATTCAGCTATTCGTTCATTTAGGTAAATGACAGCTATGCGTATGATCGCTAACCCCCACCAGTATAGGGGATAAACCTGGTCCGGCCCCGTAATTGGTTAGCTATAATCTCATTCATGCAATTGTTCAAAATAGCAAAAGAGTTCTGTTAGAGGTGCTTGCCTATACTGCGCGACCCGACGTGATAAAACTTATTTTGGAGCACCATAACCTTAATTTAAGTAGGCAGCCAATCCAAACGGGTCATTTAAAGATTCTCCACATTTTCATTTTCAAAGGGCACCAAAATCAGGAACTGCCCAACTTTTACGCCTACCACCCTGACGAAATTCTCAGTCGGACATATCGCCAAAGAAATATCCGATGGCTTCATTTCGGGCACCACGTCTTGTATTTTGAAGAGGCGCCCACTTCTACCGAGGCACCACGAAGGCCACCAAGCCCTTTAGTTTCAAGTGGTGTCAAAATCAAGGGGGCACAAAAATGTATCCATGTTTTTATTTACTCAAGGAACCAAGGGTGCCACTATCAGTAGGACAAGGGCATGTTATCTACCCCAGGTCTTAGGTCGCGAGGTGCCGAGTAGCCCTTTGGGCCCCAAGGGAGCGACAGTCAAGGGTGCGATCGAAGGGTCCGAAGGGCAGGCCGGGGATGAAGGGACATCAGCCAGTAGGCAATACGGAACACTGTCCCGCGCCGGTCTTGGCGATGGGGTCTCTTTCCCAAGTCGGGGTAGGGCCGGGCCTGCAAGTGTTGACCCGAAAAAGCGTGCGTTGGCCTGACCCGTGTGCTGGTCAAAGGCTGACGGTGCCCAACAAGGCTCCGTGTTGGCAATAAGCCCAGAGTCGACCGTGGGCGCATTTGCTGAACAGGGACAGGAGCGGGGCCTCGAATGTCAAAAGGCCTTCTGCGTTGTTCAGGGCCCTCCTGCTAATGACATGAGACGTGAAAAATGATGGTGCAGTGATCTGCGCTCACAATGAGACAGCGACTTGTGCCAGTCAGAGGTCGCAAGACTGAACGAGGGACCCTCCGCACCGTTTCAACCAGTAGGCAGGAGTCGATGAGTCGAATTGGTGTCTCGGCGACAACTAGGCATTGGACTCCCCGTGCGGGTAAGAGATCTTTTTGCGTCAGTGACGGGTCGCTGCGTCGGTCGTGTATGAGATGTCCGGTCTTCTTACCTGGGCATCTGACACGGTCTAAATGTAAGAAATTTTCTCGCTCCTTTAAGACCTCAAAACGTGCAGCACATTATCGGACTTTCTTCATGTTAACGACACAAAACATGCCGCTCGTGCTCTAGGGAGTTAGCCATATCTTTCTCTTCAAGAAACTGTTGCATCAAAAATCTACCAATTTTATTTGTTTTGCCGCCTTCCGCTGCGACCACCAACATTTCACTATTCGCGTTTTGACATGTCGCTCGAGTAGCATTACGAAGTAGACAATGTGTACAGGCTATCGCTTTTGCGTTTAGCCATTCACTGTTGGGTTCGATTCCCAGTGATGCCCGCCCTTTCTGCCTGGATGAGAGGCAGGCGTCGCCATATAGTCTCAGAAGCGTCGTTAGGCCCCAATGACGCACATTCACTGTGACGTCAGCGACTGACAAAATGCAACTTGTGCGTTTCGTTTTACGTAAGCTACTGGGTATTGTGTTGCGTAATTGTCCTCTTTAATACCAAATTGTGATTCCCCACAAAATCTTGAATTTTCCTTGCGTTAAAGAACTGAAAAGAACTGGTATCGGGAGTCAAGTTTCGCATGTGAGGGCGAGCAAAGTATAGCGAGGGCTCAGCCAAATACAAAGGGGCCCAGTCCAACATTCGGGGGGGGGGGGGGGCGCTCGACATTTAAGGGCCATGTCTCCCTTAAGATGTAACGAAGTTCCACCCCTGGGCGCCACTAATGTCTTCCACAGCCTCCTTCAAACTCTCCCGAAATACGTGTCATTTCGGATGGCTGTTTGAGCTCAGTATATTCAAGATGGCGATTTGAGCTCAAATTTCATGCAAATGTGGAACACTCCCGTACAGCACGATACCTGGTGACCGGTTGAATATAATACACTTGCGTGCGTGGCGGGTCAGTTTGACCCCTCCCACAGATTTGTCGAAAACCAAGAGAGGTGCAGCCAACAAATTCATGGAGTAGGCAGGGATGTACGTTAACTCACTTGCGTCAAAATGGTTCCTTACGCCGTGACCTTTGGATCAAACAAGGTCGAGCGCAAGATTCATGCTCGAGCGCACCTCGGATCTCTTCACTCAACCGGCTTTACCAGTCGTTCTTCGTAAACAATAGGTCATCCGTATTTATATCAGGTCCGTAACCTTAGCTGATTTTTAGATGGCTAAAATAACCAAAATTCCTCGAGGTTATTTATATATTTCAGATGATAATAGGGGTCAAAATCTCTCCTGGGCGACATGGTCTGCAAAGCAAGAAAACATTTTCGGTCAGTAAATTCCCCGGACGTTTATGAAGTCAAAACCATTCATGTATTGACGTTGTGGTAGAGGAATTTGGAACAGCGCCAAAAACTACCTCATGGCGCTAGTTATCTAGAAAAGCAGTTTGGTTTTTATCTTGGTCTTACCCTAACGCGTGACCTAAGGTCAATGCAATGGTTCAACCTTCAACCTGCCTCTGAAACCCTCTCAAAACGGCATTATTTCGTTTAGCGCGCTGTCGTTGCATCACCTTGAAAGCTCTCCTAAGAAACTGCTGTCGCTGACAGCTATGGCCTGACGCTGACCTGTGCAGATTATCGATGGTATGAGGCATGTGTAGCTTTGAATGCCGAAAAGCTGGCTGTTCAATCGCCTACAGCCAAACAGAGCTTGGCATTGCTGCGCCACGCCGTTCGGAAGCTTTTGTCGGACAAAACTGTGGAAGTGAAATTGACCCATCCGAACGCGTATTAACCCTTCAGCAGTTGGCACTGAATCACTATTGTTAACTTTGTAGGTCCTCGTGAAAACATGCTTCACAACAGCGAAGTCGAACAAAGCTTTTGACTTAGTGGTTGCTGCATTGAATGCTATACTCAAAACAAACGTATGATTACCGCGGGTACGGTATTGAATGTTTTCGTGATGTGTTTTTCTGTGTTGGGTGCAACTTTCCTTTTTCTCCTGGTTTCCTTTCTTCCGCCCAAGAAGGTTTCCTTGCCGTCTTAGATTGTCTCAAGCAGTTTCGGACCTTCACATCCAATGGATTGGCAAGATGAGCCCTTGCCCAGCGGCCGAAGGCCTTTGATGCCCACCGTTTTACAGCGGAACAGGCAGACAACAAGGCCATGTTAAAATTGCTTATGTGAAATTTATTCATGTGCACAGATGAGTCACACTATAAATACAGCGGTGACTTGGTCCCGTTCTCTCACACAGACATAAATAGACGTAGCTTGTCTCCAAACAGGCGTCGATCAGTGGCGAAGGCGGCTCCGATGGACAGGCGGCGGTGAGGCCGTGCTTAGTCTCACTGGGAGACGGGCCGGTACTCGTAGACGGGCCCGTACACGACGGCCGGCTGCTGGGCCCGCACCACCTGCCGCTCCGGCGCCGAGTAGCCCTCCTGCACGGTGCGCACCTCTGGCGCCGTCTCGGTGGAAGGCACCTCGGTCGTCGGGTACTCGGTGGGCACGGGCGTGGGCAGTGCGTCGCTCTCCGCCCGGAAGCCCAGCGTGTCGGCCACGTAACGCACGCTGACGGGCACGCCCTCGTGCGAGATGTAGCTGTAGGAGCCGGCCACGGTGCCGTCGGCCGCTTCCTCCGCGCGCTCGATGTCGTCCTCGGAGAAAAAGCGGAAGGCGTAGCCGCCCTGGTCGTCGCTGGTGCTGGACGACTCGAGGATGCGGACCAGGGGCAGGGGGGCGGCGACGGTACGCACGGCCGGGGCGGCACCGTAGCTGGTGCGGGGCTGCGAGTCGGCGGCGACAGCGGCCACCAGCGTCAGAAGAGCCAGCTGTGAAAAGTAATTGGGACGGAAGCATTACCGATGGTGTGCTGATTGCTCGAACATGATGGCTTAGAAGACACTAGAGAGAAACTTAAAATGACAACTAACGCATAGTTCATCCGCTTTTTGCTTGATGTTTGCAATGTGTGACAAGTCAAATGGTGATAGACCATCGTAGTTTACGGTCTGATTCCTGTGTAAAAGGACCATATTTTTCCTCGGCGCAGCTCAGTATGTCATTAGCTTCAGTACCTCACAATCCAAGGCTCGTGTTTAGACCAGCGAGAGTTTATGACACTTAGACTCACCATCTTCATGATTAGTATGGTGGTATGGGGAGGGGAGCTGTCGCTTGTCGGTAGGTGCAGCTGCTGTGATGGCCTGTCCCGGCCGGTGCTGGGTTATATAGTGGAGACGGTGGCCCGTCGACCCTGGTCAGGACAAGTTATGAGGTCGCTCCCTCCCCCTCCCCCTACCTGGTGTACTCGCGACAGCCGGCTTCGACGGGTCGTCGGATGCGTTACCTCTGATCGGAATTGATTGCGATTCAGGGCCGTTATCATCGTTTCCATCCAACGTCTTCTCCATGATCCTGGATAGGCTGTCGTGGCGGGCACGTACGTGACTATGTAGAGCAGCTTGGAATGCAGTATTCCACGTCCGAAGTTATGAAATGTTGTCAAAAAAGTAAGCGATAAATATCAGGCAACAGGTCATGAAAGCAAACTTTTAACGTAATATTAACACGCACCCGGGTGGCCGGTTGGTTACCCCTCGCTTGGGTGGGGTTCAACTTGACTCCCCCCCCCCCCCCCTGAGATCTCAGGAACGAAGAGGGCTAGAGGCACCAAATTCACAGGCTGTGTTGACCTGTACCTAAATTCACTTAGGTCAAAGTCTGACATTCCTAGATCATGATGTTGGGGTCAAATAAGGTCAAGCGATGTTAAATTCCAGGTTGGTCTCCAAAGAGCTTCTAAAACCTAAATAGCTATTCTGCACAAAAATTCACATGCTCATCTAAGGTCAGTACCTTGTTTGACCTTTTGAAGGTCATAGTGGCCAAATTAAACAAGACTGTTTTGAGTTTTGCGTTTGAATAAGCATCAAAGATTGTCAGGCAGTATGCTCCTAAAAACAAAATGTTGACATGGGTCATTCTGGGTCAGTGACATATCCTGGCCTTGATGAAGTCTATGGAAGGTGTATAATGCGGTTCCTGTTATCAGTAAATTCGAAGTGAGCGCCAAAAACTATGCTATGCAGCAAGCTTTGGAGTAAAAAACGGGTTGGTTTTGACTTTTGTCTGACCTTAAGATCTGACCTCAGCTCAATGCAGTGTTTTATTCGATTGCTGTGTTGCCTAAGGAAGTATTCTAGAGATGTACGGCTTCATCGAACATTCTGTTATTGGATCAGATTGAACGAGTACCTGGAAATTGCCTTCGCTGAAATTAAGACCTGGCTTTGACCTATCATCCGTCAGTGACCGTACCAGGTACATCTAAATTTGTTATGTCAGATGATCCGCTATTCAATTATCTACGATTGTGCAAAACTTGGCGTGGCTGCGCTGCGCCGTTCGAAAACCATTCTGGAAAAACCTTCGGGGGGTCGGTTTTACCCCCACCCGAGCGCGTGTTAATCAAAGTCTTTTTGGAATACGCTAGCGATTAATGACATTTTGTGTTTTGATTTTTTCATGATGTGGTTTAGTGTCATGTTATAGAACATTTGTTTTCAGTTTGTGATAAAAGGAGTTCACTTTGCTCACGTTTTGACGTGAAAAAAGGCTCGCGCTCAAACTAGTCGTATACTTTTAAGTGAAAAAGGCTGATCTAGAAAACGCAATTTCTGTTTAGTAAATATGTTCCTTAGCACGCCACTGATTGATGGCGCCATCACACCTTGCACAGTGTTGAGTGAGAGTCAATTAATGACCATTATCTCTGGGGATTTTGCCCACGAACGCCAAACATGAGCAGCTCGACAGTTACATGTCGCATGGTCTTGATCGCCGCATGGCCTATGGAACGGCAGGATTTGAACGGCCTTAACATTGCGTCGTGGATGGCTGGGGGACTTTGAAGTAGTCTGGACGAAATTATTTGCGCTTTTTTACGGGCGTGTAGCTCAGGGACTAGAATGGTTTAGGTCTTAACAAGGCGGGGCTGTGAACTGCACCAAATGATCCTCACGATGACTACTTCAGCTCAAAACGTCATGCAAATGTGGGTCACTCCCTTAAAGCACACGACCTGATGATAGATTGAATATTATGCACTTGGGCGCGCGGCGGGTCAGTTTAAGCCCTCCCGCGGATATCTCGAGAACGAAGGGAGGTAAAACTGGCAAATTTATGGCGTACTTAGGGATGTACATGAACTCACTTGTATCAAAATGATTGTTTCGTACGCTTTGACCTTCGGGTCAAACAAGGTCAAACGCAAAATTGATGTTTGAACTCCCCTGCGGCCTCTTCACCCAACCGGCTTTGTCATAGTTGTTTTTGTTTTAGCAAGAAGTCACTCGTGTCCATATCAGGCCCGTGACCTTAAGTAAGTTTTAGATGGTTAAAATGACCATAATCCCTCTAGGTTATTTGTACATTTCAACTTACAATAGGTGTCATGATCTATCCCTGGCGACACGTTCCTCAAAGCAAGAATACATTTTCAGTCAGTGAATTCCCTGGACGTTTATGAAGTCAACACCATTTATTTGTTGACGTGACGATAGAGGAATTGGGAATAGCGCGAAAGACTACGGCATGCAGGTAGTCTTCTAGAAAAGCAGTTTGGTTTTTATATCTGTCTTGCCTTTATGTGTAACCCACGGTGAATGGAACATTCAACCTTTTATTGGCACGAAACTCAAAATAGTATTATTTCGTGTAAAGCTCTGCCTTTGCATCATGTTGAAAGCTCTCCTCAGAAACTGCTGGCGCTGACAGCTATGGTGGTTTTGAATTTGACCTACGCCGATCATCGATCTTATGAGGCATACGTAATTTTGAATACCGAAGAATTGCCTGTTCAATTGCATGCAGCTAAACAGAGCTTGGCATTGCTCCTCCACGTCGTTCAGAAGTTAGTCGCGTGAAGAAAAAAGGTGTCAAATTGACACACCCGAACGCGTATTAACCATTGAACAGATCGCACTGGGTCAATAGTGGCATGCTTCCCCAGAACTCTTTAGGTCCACGTGAAGGCATGCTTCCCCAGAACGAAGCCGAACAAGCCTTTTAACTTAGTTTTCGCTGTATTAAATGGTATGCTGAAAACAAACATTTGATTACGGCGGCTGCTTTTCCGTCTATAAAAGTCTCTTTGCCGTCTCAGATTGTCTCAAGCAATTTCGGACCTATCCATCTAATGGATTGACAAGATGAACCATTCCTCAGCGGCCGAAGGCCTTTGATGCCCACCGTTTTACAGCGGAAGTCATTCATCAACAATGTCATGTTAAAATTGCTGATGTGAAATGTATTCATGTACACAGGTGAGTCACACTATAAATACAGCGGTGACTTGGTCCCGTTCTCTCACACACACATAAATAGACGTAGCGGGTCTCCAGACATGGCGTCGGTCAGTGGCGTAGGCGGCTCCGATGGACAGGCGGCGGTGAGGCTGTGCTCAGTCTCATTGGGCGACGGCCCGGTACTCGTAGACGGGCTTGTACTCGACGGCCGGCTGCTGGGCCCGCACCACCTGCCGCTCCGGCGCCGAGTAGCCCTCCTGCACGGTGCGCACCTCGGGCGCCGCCTCGGTGGACGGCACCTCGGGCGTCGGGTACTCGGTGGGCACGGGCGTCGGCAGCGCGTCGCTCTCCGCCCGGAAGCCCAGCGTGTCGGCCACGTAGCGCACGCTGACGGGCACGCCCTCGGGCGAGATGTAGCTGTAGGAGCCGAACACGGTGCCGTCGGCCGCCTCCTCCTGGCGCTGGATGTCGTCCTCGGAGAGGAAGCGGAAGGCGTAGCCGCCCTGGTCGTCGCTGGTGCTGGACGACTCGAGGATGCGGACCAGGGGCAGGGGGGCGGCGGCGGTACGCACGGCCGGGGCGGCGCCGTAGCTGGTGCGGGGCCGCGAGTCGGCGGTGACAGCGGCCACCAGCGCCACTAGAGTCAGCTGTGAGTAAAAAAGGGGACGTGTACGTCATGTGGCTGGCTCGTAGTTCGAAGAGACCGATTTACAGAAAGTTATGAAAGCTTTAAATGATATTTTCTGCCTAAGGTATCCTTTTGTCAATTGATCGTGGCAGTGTTGGACATTTTGGAAATAGTTTGGAAATGGTGGATGTTTATTCATTGTTGGTTTTACTCTAGCGCAGCCAAACTAATGGTCTCCCTCGGCCCAGGTCCGGGTGTAAATGGCGTCATCGCTGTGTCATCTAGAGCTTTTATCGTATTCAGCTTAGAGGAAACCCAACACCCGTAGTCGCACTCACCATCTTCATGTTGAGTATTGTGTGTGGGATGGGAGCTGGTGCCTGTCAGGAGGTGCAGCTGCTGTGATGCCCTGTCTCGGTGTGTGCTGGTTTATATAGTGAAGCCAATGTCCTTCGACCGTGGACAGGACAGGTTATGGGGTCATCCCTCCCCACCCCGATATGCTCACTAGCGCCGACGGCGACTGTGACGTCACTGCCGGCTCTGATTGGTCCTGAGGTGGGTCATCTCTGATCATGGGATGATTGCTTCGGAACACACGACTGATGTTCTCGTCCATTTCCTGTTGCAAGGTGTAAGCATAAATGGTGAGGAGGAATGACGGGTCGAAGCGGGATGTTCAGCTCCTGTCCGAACTTAAATACCGCGGCCATTAATGTAAAGAAATTCGTCTTTGTCACCGTGTGCATCTGTAAGCATCTAGAGGATTTCAGAACCTTCTTTCGAATTTATTGGGAAGGCCATTATCATCGTAGACATGCTCTGGAAGACGTTTTCCGTTTAAGTTGTTTGTTTTTTTGGACGAAGAAACGGGTCTGTTCGTCAAATTACGTTCATGGCGTGCATTGATGGGAGACACAGACTTTTAGTCCAGTCACCAGTGGAGAAGAAGAAAAGGAGTCCGCGCCTGAACGTTTAATGCTCGCCTGAAATCATTGCATTGACGTAAGGCTGTCAACAAAGCGGCACACATGTCTTGTTTTGGAACATCGTTCACGAGGTCATGATGGTTGGAGAGATGCTGGTCTTGAATACCATCGCCATTGGGGGCCGAGATTCCATTGACTCTGCCGAAGGGAATTGAAGTGACTCAACGAAGAGTCGTCAAGATTAACAGCAGAAATGTTGTAGAGAAATGTTAAGATAATTTGTTGTTTTCGGGGCACCCCATCTGGTCGTGGTTCAACTACTTCATACCTAAAATTATTTTCATAATTTGAGGCAGACTAAAGACGTTTTGATGGTATTACAACATGTCTATGCCGATGGCATTTGTGTGTTGTGTTACCTTCTGGTTGCATGGTGCCTTTGGTCCCGCACGCCGCTGGATATGTTCCAGCAAAACTTCGTTATCGGTAGGCACACACAGGGCAGCTGTGCGGCACGCTTTGAGCGGTGAAAACATTATTTGAACTTGTTAAGCTTGTGCCCACAGCAGCCTCCGAGTTTGTAACGTCCTCGTGCCAACAGAGGGCACTGGTTTTCAACAGGCCTCTTGGCATCGTAACTGGGTGTTTGCGGGTTTGCCAACGTTGTGTTGACAGGCTGCCTTCCGGTTTTAGTTTATTCCCCTTTACCCAATTTGTGACGCTAACAGATGTTAAGTCTCCTCTCCGCATGGTAAACCAAAAGACGTGTGAAGGTTTGCCGTGTGTACAAGATTCATTCGAAGAACTGTATGTTCGGCCCGAAGACATGAGGTGCAGATCATTACGTATGCGACGTTCCACTGATGCTTTGTGTATGCGCATATGTGTGTACCAAGCAGGCTTATTTCGACTCGAGCTGAATCATGCATCGGCTCTTGAGTCAATGGTTTTGGGGCGAGTCGTGAGCTGAGTCGGCCCGCTAGGAAAAATGCCGCTTTGTGTCCTAAGCTGAACCACACTCTTTGTACATTTCATGAGCTGAAGCGAAAGCGGATCGTTGCTAACAATGCTGTGGCGGTGATTCGTGTGGCTGAAAAGGGAATGGCGACATGGTAGAACCCAGCATGCCGTAGGCAAATTAACGTCATTTTTCAGTATCTTCAAATGCACAGCATGCAGCATTGGTTATGAATATTTTTGCGCTACGAGCACAATGTTCTTTATTTAAATTTCTAAGCAGCAAGCACAGTATTGCTGATTCTGAACAGAACTTTGCCCAGTCTCAGCCAGGAACCAGACGGGCTGACATGGTACAGACATCCTACAAACGTATATCCTATGCTAAAATCTGCGGGAGTTTTTCTGGCACCTACAAAACCAAGGGCAAGTCATATTTGCCTTTATCAATTGTCACAGCAATGAAATCATTCCTACCTGACCCCTCATGCAATACCTCTTAAACAGCCGTAAGCATGTTATTGCTGGGGCTATATGAATTAAGCAGGAATGGTGGCAAGGTCGTCTCGTCTCATATGTGGAGGATACATCGCAAAGTGTGACGTCCCTGGGATTGTATCAATAATTTTTCCACGCAACTTCCAAATGAGACTTTTACCTACCAATTTAGTTGTCTTGGATTGCGGTTAAAGTGACGCTCAGCACTTTAATCTCTACGCAGCACGAAAACCCGTTTTGACTCCTAATCCATCATAGAGTGACCTGATGAGATGAGTTAAGGCCTCCTGGGGAAAATGGCATTCGGCGCTTTTGTATGCCTATCTCCAGTTCGGTTGCTCAGAGTTCAGTTTAGTTAAGTCCAGTTCCTTGCTGACTGGAGGACTTGAGTCGTGTGAAGTGGATTTTTGCTTTGTTTTTTATGAGAAATACAATCGTAATTCGTAATACTTACTAAGTCCAGGTAAGCAGGTAAGTTCACAACTTGTTTGTAGCCTAGGCTAGCTAACCGCTATTGTAAAACTCCATTCCGATGTTGAATTTTTGACGTTATCGCTGACGGCATGGCTAGTACCGGCTATTGGAAATGTGACTATTTTCCTGAGGATGCACCTGGCTACCACATGGCACGTGCAGACTGTCACCTGTCAGGTTCAGTGCAGTCTAACCCACGTTGCATGCGATATAATTGATACCAGTCCTGAGCCGACCCTAAAAACTTGCGTCGAACACAAGTCTCTTACCAAGATGAGAACACGACCACCTGCGATGCAAAGAATTTGTACTTCCTTATCTTTGTCGCAAAGGCCGTGCTCCCGGCTCCCATCGTCCCAACCAGTCGCCGGCTTTCCAATCTATTGAGTTGACAGGCAGAAGGAAGGAAGGAATCAGAATATCCTGATGTGTACTGCTTTCCAGCGGTACGAAGCTATCCATTATTAGCGTCATCTCTGAATCCCTGAGGCCTTCCTCAGCAAGCCGAATGCTCGCGGTGCTCACTACCTTTGAACACCAGCAACCACTAAACATCATGTTGGCATTGCGGAAATGAAGTGTATTCATGTACACAATTAGATCACACCATAAATACAGTGGTGACTTGGTCCCGTTATCTCACCCAGACATAAATAGACGTAGCTTGTCTAGAGGCACGGCGTCGATCAGTTGCGAAGGCGGCTCCGATGGACAGGCGGCGGCGAGGCCGTGCTCAGTCTCACTGGGAGACGGGCCGGTACTCGTAGACGGGCTCGTACTCGACGGCCGGCTGCTGGGCCCGCACCACCTGCCGCTCCGGCGCCGAGTAGCCCTCCTGCACGGTGCGCACCTCGGGCGCCTCCTCGGTGGACGGCACCTCGGGCGTCGGGTACTCGGTGGGCACGGGCGTGGGCAGCGCGTCGCTCTCCGCCCGGAAGCCCAGCGTGTCGGCCACGTAGCGCACGCTGACGGGCACGCCCTCGGGCGAGATGTAGCTGTAGGAGCCGACCACGGTGCCGTCGGCCGTCTCCTCCTGGCGCTGGATGTCGTCCTCGGAGAGGAAGCGGAAGGCGTAGCCGCCCTGGTCGTCGCTGGTGCTGGTTGACTCGAGGATGCGGACCAGGGGCAGGGGAGCGACGACGGTACGCACGGCCGGGGCGGCGCCGTAGCTGGTGCGAGGCTGCGAGTCGGCGGCGACGGCGGCCACCAACGCCAGTAGAGCCAGCTGTAAATAATTTAGGGGACGGGAGTGTCAGACGGTGACATAATCATTGCCTCTACATGATGGCTGGAAATCCCTGGAGAGAAGGTTAAAATGACATCTAATGCATAGTTCATTCGCTCTTTGTTTGATATTGGCGATGTGTGACAAATCAGAAATGATAATAGACTATCGTTACTTTTCCTCTTGATTTCTGTGTAAAAGTGCTCCATTTTTCCTCGACGCAGGTCATTATGTCATTAACTTCAGTACCTCACCATCCAAGATTCGTGTTAAGACCAGAGAGAGCTTATGACACTTACACTCACCATATTCATGATTAGTATGGTGATGTGGGGAGGGGAGCTGTCGCTTGTTGGTAGGTGCAGCTGCTGTGATGGCCTGTCCCTGCCGGTGCTGGGTTATATAGTGGAGACGGTGGCCTGTCGACCCTGGTCAGGACAAGTTATGAGGTCGCTCCCTCTCCCTCCCCCTACCTGGTGTACTCGCCCCAGGCGGCTTCGACGGGTCGTCAGATGCGTTACCCTTGATCGGAATTGATTGTGATTCAGGGCCGCTATCATCGTTCCCAACCAACGTCTTCCCCATGGTCCTGGGTAGGCTGTCGTGGCGGGCACGTACGTGACTATGTAGAGCAGCTTGGAATGCAGTATTCCACGTCCGAAGTTATAAAATGTCGTCAAAAAAGGAAACGATGAATTTCAGGCAACAGGTCATGAAAGCAAACTTTTAACGTAGTATTAACACGCACCCGGGTGGCCGGTTGATTACCATTCGCTGGGGTGGGGTGTCATTTTGACCCCCCCTCCCTGAGATCTCAGGGACTGAGAGGACTAGAGGCACCAAAGTGACGGTGTGTTGACCTGTACCTGAACTCACTTAGGTCAAAGTCTGACATTCCTAGATCATGATGTTCGGGTCAAATAAGGTCAAGCGATGTTAAATTTCAGGTTGGTCTCCAAAGAGCTTCTAAAACCTAGATAACTGTTCTGAGCAAAAATGTACGTGATCATCGAAGGTCAGTGACCTTGTTTGACCTTTTGAAGGTCATAGTGACCAAAGGCCAACAAGACTGCTTTGGGTTTGCATTTGGATAGGCGACAGGGATTACGCAAGGCAATATGTTCCTAAAAACAAAATGTTGACCTGGTCATTCTAGGTCAGTGACCTATGCTGGTCTTAATGAAGTCTGTGGAAGGTGTATAATGCGGTTCCCGTTATCAGCAAATTCGAAATGGGCACCAAAAGCTATCCCATACAGCATGCTCTAGAGTAAAAAAACGGGTTGGCTTTCACTTT